TGGTTTGCTTACTTTTTCTTTCCATCAGACACACGTAACTAGTGTGTAGAGATATATATATAAATATATATAACATAATTAATACGTATACTTATCCGATCGGTCGAGAATCCGATTTTCGCTGAAATACTATCAAAATGATCAATTTTAAATCGTGAAATTATCTAGCGACCTAAATACGGGTTTTGCCGGAATGGGATGTTACAAATAATAGGTCCATATTCACATTAAACACAACCACATACAAATCATTCAATCCATACAAGCGTTCACATAATTGTAGCTAGGATTTACAAACACCCAAGTTAAAGAAGGGACTACTCCATGCTAGGAGAAGGGACAACACAAGAGAGAAGAAGGAAAACCATCAAAGAGATGCTAGCCTTGCTCCTTGTGTTGAAGAGATCCTTTTTTTAGGGGGGGGGGGGGGGGGGGGGGGGGGATTCCCAAATCCTTGCTTGAAGATGAAACCCTAGCTTCTCCTCTTCTTTTGTTCGTCACTTTCTCACTCTAGAAATCTGAAGAAGAAGAAGAAGAAGAAGTTTCGCACTAGGTTTCTCCATTTTCTCCTGTGGCTAAACCTCCTTTATATACCCAGATCGGGCTCAGTTCATGGTCTTAGTTCACGGTCCTGAACTAAAAGCCAAGACCGCAAACCAACCTGAAACACCCAACATCACTTATCCTAGTTCACAGGCAATGGTCCGAGTTCACGGTCTTACGATCATGAACTGACTCGTGTCCAGTGAAAACCCTTTGTGCTCTGGATGCCTGGCAGTTCGCTGAGATAGCCTCCAATTCACGATCATAGTGACCGTGAACTCACAACCCAAACCGTGATCTGCTGCTGTTTTCAATGTTTGACTTGATCTTTCGCCCTTTCGTCCAACTTTTGACTCTGGGGTTAGTTCCACATGCCCAAGTCTGAAAAACACCAAAACAAGGCACAACACGGCGTAAAACCAAACCTTCCGGAGTAAAAATGCTTCAAACGACTAAGCAACCCGGAGGTAAAAAGTGTACAAATGAACCCGAATCACCACTAAAGTTTTGATAGATCAGATAATAAAGGAAGTGGAGATCAATGATGGAGTGGGATTTGTCGTTTCTGCAGGCTCTTCTCGTTCTTTGCTCTTGGTTGAATAGTTAAAGTAGGTCTTATTTTACATATTTTCTATTCCTACATAGTTTGTAAGCTTACAGTTCGGTTTTCTTAACGGTTGGCAGGGATGTTGCCAATTATAGTACATTCCTTTTTTATGATATAATATACGAATCGATTCATATAAAATACTTTTACAAATAAGTCCTAAAAATATTGATGGAAATTTATATTTTCGTACCTTAAAACGTTTTTCATAACATTTTGATACTTGAACTTTTAAAAAATTACAAATAAGTCTAACATTATGAGGTTTCTAGTATGCTTTAATGAATTTGCGGTATACTTTTAGAAACTTGTGGTGTGCATTAATTATCATGTCGTATGCTTTAATAAACTTGTGATATGTTTTATTAAACATGTGATATGCTTCATGAGACATGTGATCTACTTCAAAAAAATTGTGGTATGCTTTAATAAACTTGTGATGGTGCACTATAAACGTGTGGTGTGGTTTAAAACACTTGTGGTATGCTTTCTACACTTTGTGGTCTGTTTTAAGAAACCTATGGTGTGCTTTTATAAATTTTTGGTGTGGTGAGGTTGTAGTGTATGTTTTCTAAGCTTTGCAGGTTTTTTTGTTGCAGTGTGGTTCTTGTGTTTAGTGGTTCCCCAATCAATGCACCCCTTCCCCATACACACACGTTGGTCCTCATTCCCCAAAAATTTTATTAACGATCATTGTGCCCCTCCGTCCCCCCCCCCCCCCCCCAATTAAAATGAAATGTTTCTATTAGATGGAGTCATTGTTAGCGCTACAGTAACAAAACAAAAGTTCAGCACTATACCCCTTCTCATTTTCGGGTGGTTTTGTTAACCCCTATTGGCAGGCCATGGACAACGGAGGCAGTGGCAATAACTGTAGAGGCAGATTTAGGATTGGGACACCTCGGGCCACGACCCAGCCCTCCTTCGGGTCTAGAGCTAGTATATTACTTATATATTTCTCGATTTTAGGTATTCGGCCCAGTGATATTTGAAAGTTGGCCAATGTTATTTGATAATAGGATTTTGTGTAACTAAAAATGGTCCAATTGAACATATCCAAACCTAAAAGTGTAAAATGTATAAAAACTAAAAGTATAAAGTTTCATTTAAATAAAAAAAAAACCCTCTAAACTAATGCTCACCCTTCCATGTTAAACCTAAACAAATTCCCCCAACCCCCCAAAACAAAAACGAGTAGACGAACAAATTCAAAACGGATTCCTCCGCCAGTCCGTCAGACTATGGATTTCTATCCAATATTTTAATTAAGAAAATATTTACAAACTTGCCGAGCCATCATTTAGATTGCTTCAGTTGAGTGTAGGGATGGCAACAAAACCCGAACCCATGGGTACCCACCCGACCCAACCCGGTTAACGCGGGTAAAATCCATGTTGACGGATTTTGAGCCGGGTTCGGGTTGATGTACCTTATCATTCCTGCCCTCAAGATTATCTGTCTGTCTCCTTTCATTCTATGATGATTTGCACACGCTTCACAATTGCAGCAGATTTTGATATGGTGTGCCATTGGAGTAGAAATTGCAATGTTTATTGTATTTCATGTACTCAAGGCTTAGATACAGGAAGCTATTTCACAATCTCTGTTTTGTGTAAGATGTTTAGACTTGGGTGATATTAGATGGTGAATAATTCAATCGTCCCAGGATTTCTGATTAAATATCATTTTGAGTTTCATTCACTCTAGCCAGTTCAACGTTTCAACAGTTCAAGATTATTGCAATTTCTTGAGTGGGTGACTCCGCCCTGCGGGGCATTGATGGCGGGAGAGAGAGAAGGAGCAGAGTACATCAGAGATTTCAGAGGAAGAGGATTCAAGTCAAGGTGGAGATTTGTTGATGTGACTTGAATCGGACTATCAGCCGCTACGACTGGTAGTCGGGGGTCTGGCTGCCCCTGTGTATGGGCTCAATGTTATTTGGGTTCGGGTTCTGGGCCTGGTCTGTAACCGTTTCCTTTGCCAAATTGGATTAGGTTTAGATCCACACGGAGAAGTACAATAAATACTTCTCATACTCCTCTGTAATATGTAATATGTAATCTGCTCGATATAGTGAAACTGGCTCTCTCGCCCGTGGACTAGCTAACACACATCGTGTTAGTGAACCACGTAAATCGCGTGTATGTGTTTTTCGATTCACGCTTTCGTATTCTTGCTTTATCGATTCTGGCGATTTCCCGATCCGTAGCATCGCGTTTATAACATTATTGGTCCCACCTCCCGGCACGGAGCGCTGGCAATGAGAACTAGTTTGACTTTAATTTTGATAGGAACTTGTTATTATAAATTTTTTACGACAAAAACCCGTGGGTACCCATGAACCCGCGGATACCCAACGGGTTGGGTTGGGTTTGAGTTTGAGTTTTTCAAACCCAGTGGGTTTTATCCCGGGTTTTTTTCCTGACCCAACCCGACCCATTGCCATCCCTAGTTAAGTGGTTGACTAGATCCTAACAGTTCTTTCGGGTCTTATGATGAAGAATGAGCAGCGATATTATGCCGCTCATGTGATTCGTAGTATGGAATATGAATTTTCTTCCCTTGCAAAATTATTAGTAAAACTGGGGGAAACAAGGACGGACACACAATACTAATTGATTTGTCGGTTGATTCGCCTAGTGTTTACATTGCCTGTTTGAACGACAACTACGGAGAGAAGATTTTTAGCAATGAAACATGTGGAAACTGATATGCGCAACAAAATGAGTAATGACATTCTCGTTGATTGCTTAGCTATTTTCTTCGAGATAGAGTATACTATTGGCATGGATGAAATAATAAATTCTATTATTGATGAATTTGCTAAATTAGAAGACTTTCTTGTATAATTGGTATTTGGTATTGTAATAAAAATTATAGATGTTATATATTTTTATTTACACTATGTAATATTCTATTCTAATACGGTTCAGTACTTTACTATGTCCTGGATCCGCAGATTAATAGTTGTATCAAATGATTCATTTACCCCATTTAACCTTTGGGCAATCTGGACCATGCGATCACCGTATAACAATCTTACGTTCATCTAATTTATATTTCGATCACCATCGGCCATGTTTGCTAAACTAACTCATTTGCCTTTTTTTCCTATTAATCTCAACTTGCATTTTTGGTCTGCAGATCAGGACAAGCTGAGTGAGTTGGAGGTGGTAGTTTGGAATTTTGGCAGCAAATCCCATCACAACAGATCACCTTCTTAGTCTTACATCAGCCACCACCTAAACCCTAACATACACACAAACAAACGTTTTACACTCTCTCTTTTTCTTACTAATTTACACCATCATTATCGTCAGCCTTTCAGCTCTTCCATTTTGGGTGACCACCGGTGAACTAGTTCCTACAAGAAAACGCCATTAAAAATAAAATATCAGATTAGTTACAAAGAGAACTGAAAAAGAAGGAAGAAGAAGAAAAGAAAGGTGTGCAGAGTACAGAGTGCAGATGGCCAATTGGCCATCGAGATCTACGTTTCTTCACTTCCGTTCTGCGTTTGTTCCCCTCTTTTGCTTCAACGTCAAGCTTCCTTCCTCCCCACCATGATTAATAAATAAAATAAAAAAGGCCATTAATTTCTCGGCTAATCCCACCAGCTAAATTGAAAGCAACAAGTTCAGAACTCCCTCCTTTCTCTATCTCGCTCTCTCGGCTGCTTGCTTGCTTTAAAGATTCAAGAGCAACGGTCGGGTAGCTTCACCCACTTTCCTAACTGCTCTCTCCTCTTTCTCTCCTCCCAACTCCCAACTCCCTCCCTCCCTCCCTCCCTCGCTCCCTTTTCCTCTACCAATTTCGTCGCTATAAACATTCCGCCTGTCCACTCTGCTTCTCCCTCAAGATACCAACCGCCGAATCTTCTACTACTAGTACTACTTCTTCTCCCATTTCCAGGTCGGCTCTCTCTCTCTCTGTCTCTGTCCCTACCATGCAATCAGGTTGTCATTGCTGTAACTAGTGATCGATCGCCTGAATGCTGTTTTTGCTTTTATTATTCTTATGGCTATGGCTGATCTTCCAAGAAGAGGAAGACTAATATTGCTTCTAGTTTTAACCAATCAAGAAACCACCCACCATTTTGCTTAGCCATTGCTGAATTGGGTTCGCTTCCATTCCATCTCTAACTCAACCTACCTTGAGCTGATCAACTCTTGTATGCTGCTTGTTTTTCCTGTCCAGTTTTTTCCCCGTATGTAGAGAATGTTTGAGCTTTCAAGTGCACCGTCATAGCAATTGCAGTTCGAATGTTTCTTAAGTGGAACAATCTATTGGTAATATGTTATTACTGATCATCAACTTTCTTGAAACCCTGTTTCCCTCTTTGCCAAATCACAGGTCCATAGCAGAAGGAAGGAAGGAAGGAAAAAAAAATTTTGATTTGACAGTGGCACCACCAACTCATATGAAGCATGATGAAAATTTCCCATCTCTTCGCCTTCACAGCTCTCCTCTTCCTGTGTCTTCTATTTCACCTTCCACGCACAACCGCTGGTGACCTTCGATCAGACAGAAAGGCACTTCTCAATTTCGGCACATCAGTTCCACACACCCGCAGGCTCAATTGGACGTCCAATGGCAGCCCTTGCAACTCATGGATCGGCATCACTTGCGCCCGAGTCAACTCCTTAACCCGAGTAATCGCGGTTCGCCTCCCTGCCGTCGGCCTCTACGGTTCATTCCCCGCCAACACCATCGGCAACTTGGACGCCCTCATCACCCTCAGTCTCCGATCCAACCAACTCGCCGGCGATCTCCCTACCGACGTGCTCTCTCTGCCTTCTCTCCGCCACATTTACCTTCAGCACAACAACTTCTCGGGGACCATTCCTTCCGCCTTCTCACCCAACCTCGTGGCTCTCGACCTCTCCTTCAATTCTCTCACCGGCGACATCCCGAAAACACTGCAAAACTCCACGCAACTCACTAGGCTGAAGCTGCAGAGCAATGGCCTCACTGGGAATATACCTTCTGCTCTCAATGTCACTCAGCTGCAACAGCTGAACGTTAGCTACAATCAATTGAACGGCTCGATTCCTTCAACCCTCCGAACCTTTCCTTCTTCTTCTTTCGTCGGGAACAATGAGCTCTGTGGGCCACCTCTTAAGAAACAGTGCCCTAATCTCGCACCTTCTCCTTCACCTTCCCCTGCCCCTTCCCCTGTTCATTTACCGCCGCCAACCCGTTCTAAAGTCCCCCAACATCGAATAGGTGTCACAAAATCGAAGAAGCTCACCGGAGGATCGGTGGCCGCGATCGCCGTCAGCTCGGTGGGGGGATTCTTTCTAGCCATGGCCGTGTTGGTGTGCTTTTTGAAGAAGATGAAGAAGAAGCAAAGGAAGCCTGAAGAAGGTGTAGGAGGATTCAATGGTAGGGCGAAAGGGAAAGGCGATGAGAAGCCAAATGAAGGGTATGGGAGCGGAGTGCAGGAAGGAGAGAAGAACAAGCTGGTGTTCTTCAATGGGTATGCTCAAAGTTATGATCTTGAGGATTTGTTGAGAGCTTCTGCTGAAGTTCTGGGGAAGGGTAGATATGGAACGAGCTACAAGGCCGTTTTGGAAGACGGCACGGCCGTGGTCGTGAAGAGGCTGAAGGAACTCGTTCTTGGGAAGAGAGAGTTCGAGCTTCAAATGGAGATTGTGGGGAAAATGAGTCATCATCTGAATGTTCTTCCTCTACGTGCCTACTACTATTCCAGGGATGAGAAACTTCTAGTGTATAATTACTTTCCCTTTGGCAACTTTTCCTCCCTTTTGCACGGTATGTGAAAAATCACATCCATTCCCTTTATTAATTTATTGCTCCGGCGGCTTTATTAGCTAGCTGACCATCAATTTTGATGCAGGAAACAAAGGGTTTGGAGGAAACGAGGTGGACTGGGAAACCAGAGTGAACATTTGCCTCGGAGCTGCTAGAGGGATCGCACACATCCACTCTGTCGGTGCCAATGGCGACAAGCTGGTCCACGGCAACATAAAGTCGTCAAATGTGCTAATTACATTAGAACACCAGGGATGCATCTCGGATTATGGATTGGCAGCCATGATGAGCTATCCAGTTCTCCCAACGAGGAGCTCCGACGGCTACCAGGCTCCTGAGGTGATTAGTACGAGGAAGTGTACTCAGGAGTCTGACGTGTATAGCTTTGGGGTGTTGTTGTTAGAGATGCTTACAGGGAAAGACGCGGCGGCAGCGGTGGAGATACGATCGGGAAAGGCAGCGGAGCAGGCGGTTGATCTGCCAAGGTGGGTGCAGTCTGTGGTGCGGGAGGAATGGACGGCAGAGGTGTTTGATGCTGGTTTGACGAGGTTCAAGAATGTAGAAGAGGAGATGGTCCAAATGCTTCAGATTGCGTTGTCTTGTGTGGCTAAGTTGCCGGAGACTAGACCATCCATGGAGCAAGTGGTGCGGCTGATTGAGGATCTCCGACCATCGCCTTACTCTGCCACCCCTTCGCCGTCCCCTTCAGTGGTCTCCATGTCCCTCTCTGTCGCTTCCACCTCCGACTACCGGAGCGAAAGGTGATGCATACTGCACACATTGATACAACCATGAACATTGAGTATCCATACTAGTAGTATGAGGTAATAGAAGCTGAACAAAAGGAACTTACTAGTTACCCATTCCTACTGCTTCACTGTCATTTTGGTATACTATGCTTCTATTCTATCCTGTAGAGTTATCATTTCTTCATACACATTCTTCTGCCCTATAGAGTCATCTTCACACACATTCTTAGTATTACTCATCTTGGCATTGAGCATTGGTTCTCACCATCCTTTACCTTCCATTCAAACACCTCCAAGAATGAATGAGTATAATGGAATGTATATATACAATGCGCAGCAGCCCAATGAAAAGCAAAGTTTCAGCTTCTCTCTCTACTGTGAGTATGTGTATATATGTATACTGAGCCTAATGGAATGGTTATAGCGTTAACTGGCAAACAGATATGGACTATTCCACTCAAAACCAATAGTTGTTGTGCGTATCAATATGCAATCATGATGCAAGAACTAGAGTGAACGAAACCAAATCTCTCGTACACGCACGAGAAGCTGGCACCAGTCCTCTCTCTCCTCCCACCTATCCCCAAGCAAAACAAGTAAGACACAAGTTAAGTTCAAAATATTTTAACCATGGAAACCTTCGGGATATATCGTAGAGGCACAAAACATAGGAATCTCAACAGCCACTTAGCACCAACACATAAGTAACTGTTAGTGTTGTGGTATATGATTCACGATTGAACTTCTCCCAACAACTCGAGTTATTGGGATCAACTGGTTCATGACATGGTATCAGAGCCTGCGATCTGAGATTTTGTGCAATCGTATTTCGCTAGGTAATTGTCTGATTACCGATTAGATCTTTCAGCCAAGGGTTTTCGGTGTTTCTGATCGCCGCTGCAGCAAAGGGGTTTTACCTTTGTCTCGTTCTCAGCTCCTGGTGATTTCGTCCGCGCAGCAGCAGCTCCAGCGCCCGGTGTTCTTTTCTTCCGCGCAGCAGCAGCTCTAGCGCCTGGTGTTCTTTCCTTCCGCGCAGCAGCAGCTCCAGCGCCCGGTGTTCTTTTCTTCTGGCGGCGCATTTGTCCAGCTCATTAATAGGTGGTGTCTTTGCTTTCGCTTACTCTATCAGGTTGTCATTCTTCTTGCTTGTCTCATGGATTCCAATAGGATGGATGGTTTTTCGGCTAAGTTTGATGGCAAGAACTTCCCTTTGTGGGAGTTTCAGTTTCGTAACTTTGTCGAAGGAAGACGCTTGCTTCCTATTTTGACAGGTCAATCCCCACGACCCGCTGTTGGTTCTCCTGCAAAGGACGTTGCTGACTGGACCGCGGGTAATGCACAGGTGGTCACCTGGCTCGCTTCTTCGGTTGACACGGCCACGGCACTCAGCCTTCGTCGATTCACCGATGCCAGTGACATGTGGAAACATATATGTTCGACATATACTCAGAATGATGCGTCTCGTCAATTCGAACTCGAAACTCAGATTGCTTTGCTCAAACAGGGTGACATGGATATTCGTTCTTACTTTCAGGAGATCACCAGTCTTTGGACCGAGTACGATCTTCTTGCTGCCTCACTTGTTCCGACTGCTGCCTCCGCTGACATGATGGCGGAACGATCTCGCTCTCGTCTCATGCAGTTTCTCATGAAGCTCCGTCCTGAATTTGAGCCGATTCGGGCTTCTCTCTTACATCAGCAGGTGGCAACCATTGATGCAGCTTTTTCTGAGCTTATACGGGAAGAGACACGCCTTCGTAGCCAGCATAAGCTCGACCAGCCTTCCTCCGCAGTTGATTCTGCCTTTGCCGTTGGTCGTGGAGGGACAGGCAAGCCTCAGTTTCAGCCAAGTGATACAAGTCAGCTTACATGCCATTTTTGCCACGAACTGGGTCACATCCAACCCCATTGCAAGAAGCGCAACATTTGCATTTATTGCAAACGTTCTGGTCACATTATTTTGGAGTGCAAGTCCTTAGCTCGTCGTAATCGCAGCGGTGGTTCGTCGTCTGGTGCCGTGCGCACTGGTCACTCCTATGAGCGCCGCGGTGGTCCTGGCTACTCGGTGGAGGAGGCTTCCTTTCGTGCCCCTTCCTCTGGTAGGGCTGATGCTGCTCCCTTGACTGCAGATGCTGTGCACCGCTTGGTGGCTAACGTTCTTCAGGAAACTCTTCCAGGGGCTTTAACTTCTGCTTTCGCCACCGGTGGATCGTCAGGTAATTCTCGGTGGTTGCTTGATTCAGCTGCTTTTAATCATATGACCAGTACTCGTTCTAGCTTTTCTTCACTTCAGTCTTCTCCTGTCTTGTCGTTACAAGTGGCTAATGGTGCTCGTCTTCCTGTACGGGGTATTGGGACGGCCACTTCTGGTCGTGTGAGCTTGGATAATACTCTATTCGTTCCTCAGCTTGTTCTTAATTTAGTCTCAGTTGGGAAGTTGACCGAAGATGGTTGTGAGGTTCGGTTTGATTCTCATGGGTGTGTTGTGCAGGATCAGAAAACAGGGAGGGTGATCGGGAAGGGTAAGAAGGCGGGTCGTGTCTTTGTTTTTGATGAGCATGGTGTTTCGGCTGGAGACTCGCCGTCGCATCTGCTTTCTGGGATGGGGACACATGGAGTTCGGAGTTCATTGTCGCAGAAGTGTAGTGGGTCGGCCAATTTAGCTACTGCATTATCTGCTTCTGATTCTTTGAGACATAATTCGGTTTCAGTTTTTGCTGTAAAGCCTAAGGGCTCTTTGGATTTTACCAAACACGCTACATTATGGGATTTGTGGCATTGTTGCCTTGGGCATCCACACAAGGCACGTTTATTGGATATGTTTCGTCGCAGTTTGCTACCCTATCATTTGTCTTCCCAATTTGCTGTGCCTGATTCATGTATTAGTTGCATTGAGGCTAAGACTTCTCAATCACCCTTCCCCAACAGTGAGATGATTTATAATGATCCGTTCGATTTGGTACACACTGATTTATGGGGTCCTTCACCCGTTGAGTCTCGCATGGGTTTTTGTTATTTCGCTCTTTTTGTAGATCATGCTACCCGGTATGCTTGGATCTACTTTCTGCGTCGGAAGTCGGAGCTCATTACTCATGCTAAGCACTTTGTTGAGATGATTTGCACACAGTTTGGCAAGACACTCAAGGTCATCCGTTCTGATTCTGGGGGTGAATTTAGTTCCACTCCCCTGCTTGATTTCTATAAGTCTTATGGTATTCTCCCACAGCAGTCCTGTCCTGGTGTTTCTCAGCAAAACGGACTGGTCGAACGGAAGCACCGTCATGTTCTGGAATTGACTCGTGCACTGCTTTTTCATTCTCGGATTCCGCGTACCTTCTGGGTTGAGGCTGTGAGCACCGTAGTGTATTTGATTAATCGACAGGTTAACCCAGTCCTTGGCAATCATTCTCCTTTTCAGCAGCTCTACTCGAAGGTTCCAGATTATTCTCGACTCAAGGTTTTCGGTTGTCTCTGCTTCGTGCTTCTTCCAAAGAAATCTCAGGATAAGTTGTCTCCCAAGACAGTTCGTTGTGTTTTTGTTGGTTATAGTAGTCAGCACAAAGGCTACTTGTGCTATGATCCTGTTGCTCGGCGTATGCATATCTCGTGTCACGTGGTGTTTCTAGAGCAAGTGATGTATTATCCGGTTGCTGATCATCCCAATGTCTCGGACTTGGCCTTCTTGAGTTCTCTCCCGGTATTTGATTCTGAGCCTGTTGTTCCCCGGAATGATTTTCAGGGAGGGGATTCTCTCGAAAATCATTCACTTGATACGAATGGTCCTTCTATGGGGAGTACATCCTCGACGCCAAGCTCAGTTAGAAATACAACAGCAGCTTCTTCTCCTTCTGCGTCCTCGAATTCAGCTTCTGCAGGCTCGCCTACCGCCTCGCAAGACAGCTCACCTTCTGCATCTTCTTCTTCTGGCCCTTATGACAGCGAGGGAGGGTCTGCGAGCTTGTTACATGAGTCGAGCACTCCTCCACCACTTCCACAACCTCGTCGTTCCTTACGTACTACACTGGGACAGCCCCCAAAAAGACTGGAAGATTATGATGTTTGTTTCTCGGCTGAATCCATACCCATACCAAGTCACTATCGATACGCTCAAGGGAACATTAATTGGGAGTCTGCTATGAAAGAAGAATTGCGGGCCTTAGAAGAGCAAAACATGTGGGACTTGGTGCCACGTCCTCCTGGTGCGTCCGTAATAGGTTGTCGGTGGGTTTATACAGTGAAAAAGAAACCTGATGGTACATTGGATAGGTACAAGGCCAGGCTGGTAGCTCAGGGGTTTAAACAAGAATATGGGATCGATTATGATGAAACCTTTGCTCCAGTAGTAAAAATGCAGACAGTTCGTAGTGTGTTAGCCGTGGCCGCAATGAAGAACTGGAAGCTTGTCCAGTTTGATGTGAAAAATGCGTTTCTTCATGGTGACTTGAAAGAAACAATCTATATGCAATGTCCGGAAGGGTATGATAAGGGAGAACCAGGGATGGTTTGCAGGTTGAGGCGTTCTCTTTATGGTCTAAAGCAAGCACCACGAACTTGGTTTGAAAAATTTCACAAGACTATTGTACAGATTGGATTCGTGCAAAGCCAGAATGATCCGTCGATGTTTACTCGTCAGACGATTCATGGAAATACAGTCCTTCTGCTGTAAGTCGACGACATGATTGTTACCGGAAGTGATACTGAGGGCATTCAGGAATTGACTCAGTCATTGCGAGCAGCATTTAATCTAAAAGAGTTGGGAGACAAACCCGACTGGCTACGGGTCATGCACTACCTGCACACACTCAAGCAGACAAACCCGTGAAGGCATAAGTGGGACAAAGCAAACAAAGCAAAAAGAAAAGCCAAATTAACAGAAATCACTTTTCTTCAACAACCTAGCCGTCCCCGGCAACGGCGCCAAAAACTTGACTCGACTCTACTGTCACTCCAGGAATTGGCCAAGTGTAACCACTTCCTAAAGCGTAGTATAGCGGGTTTAGGTTTAATTATCAACCCGGGTCCTAGATTTGATGACTACTCAGTGAATTCTTGTTATCTAGCAATGAAACTTTAATGCAAGTCTAAACTAGCAAACTAGCAAAGCAAGTAAACTGTTGTATTCAGGTTAAGAGAGGTCACCCGGATATGGTTCCCCCTAGACTGCAGTTAAGCCGGATTGTAATAGAGGTCACCGTCGTATTAGCTGGACGCCCATGGCGGATACTCAGGGCGGTGCAGGAACAGGTGCCTCCAAGAGCGGATCCACGTCGCTCTTGAGGTACAACTTGAGGTTGTGGCCGTGCACCCGACGGATGCG